ATCTATCTATCTACCAGTTTATTAATGCCTCAGTCTCTATCTCAGTCTCTTCATCATCTACCTACAGCATACATGGCCTGATGATTGGGTTTAAAACAGGCTGTGACCACTTTTATATCTACACGTACTCTATCTCTGATCTCTGTTGAACACTTTTACTCGTAAATATTACGTACATTGAAACTATAATTGTATCATATATATATATATATATATATATATATAACATAAATATGTTATAAAATCACATATTTATGTCATAATTTTCGGATAAATAATTATATATATATATCTATCTATATCTATCTATCTATCTATCTATCTATATATATATATATATATATATATATATATATATATATATATATATATATGTATGTATAAAAAAAAAAAAGAAAGAACAGTAAGATATATAGTCCCGTGTTCTTATAGATATTTTTTATTTTACAAAATAGTGCTCAATGTAAATTTACAGAGCATTAATATTATAAATTACTTGATATATGGTTTTTCCGCTACACAGTTCTAACCATGTTTCAAAAATGGAAGGTCCAAATTTAATTTTGTAATTAAATTAAAGACATTAGTTCCATTTCATCCTCAAGCGAATTTTGGAGTAACTTATAAAATTACTGGGTTTTAAAGTCAACAAAAATCATAATTTACGTTTCCAAGGAAACAGAGAAATTCATTTCAACCAGACGAAGGGTGTTTACGTGTTCATTATGTCTGTAATTTGATGTATCAGGGGTAGGGATGTATTCTTCAATGAAATCTGACATCTGTAGCGGAAAAACCATATTTTAAATCAAGTATAATATATATATATATATATATATATATATATATATATATATATATATATATATATATATATATATATATATTACTTCAATCTTTATTTTAGGGATTACCGTATTTGAAGTAGACACCGATCCAAAGGTGGTTTCTTACAATGAGGAAGACAGGTTCGAAGCCTGCCGTGGAGAATACATTTTCTTATGATTACTAGAATACACACAGTGTTTAAAATTAAAACGGGAGGTGTTTTTCAAATATGGGTATCCACTAAAAATAACCTTTTGAAGTAATAGCAATGTAATAACAAAATAAATTCATTAATTCTTTAGAATATATATATATACATACATACATACATATATATATATATATATATATATATATATATATATATATATATATATGAAAACGTATTTGTATGTATGTATGTCTATAGCTTCATGAGCACACAAACAACGCAAACGTGTCCCTGCTGTCACAACTGACTTAATAATAGATATTTAATATATATATATATATATATATATATATATATATATATATATATATGAAACGTATTTGTATGTATGTATGTCTATAGCTTTATGAACACACAAAGAACACAGACGTGTAACTTTATTGTCAGAACCGACTTTATAATAGATATTTAATATATATATATATATATATATATATATATATATATGTATATATGTGGCCACATAAGTTTATGCTACTATATCATGATACGTGTGACGATGTAAAGAATTTAAGAGATATGAAAATCACAAGTTTTGAAAAAAGAAATAAATAATTAAAAAAAAAAAGACGCCAGAAAACTGCATTAAAATTCAATGAAAGCGAATTGAAATAGGTTCCCGAGTTCACAATTGAGTTTTTCAATAACCAGGACTGAAAATAACGGCGTCGAATGCAAATAAAATCAGCGGGAGAGAGGGGGAAAAAAAGTAGCGGGAAAATGACAGCGACAATGGCGACAAGAAGAAAACATTTCGAAATCAAACGATAACATCGACACAACGGCCCCGGGTAAAATCGAGATATTACTTCTTTTTTTCATTTTCACTTTATATCTCTTTATCGCAGTCTTTGTCTAACTCGCGCTCAGTACTTATCCATTTAGCAGAGACTGTTCTCCTCTGTTCATTTAGAAACTTAGTAACTATCCGCTTAGTTATCTCATTCCGTTCACATCTCTGTATATATATATATATATATATATATATATATATATATATATATATATATATATATATATATGTTGCAAGATGTTATCTTTTACTTTTAAACTATTCTTGTCTGGCTAGTTATCTATGATCGTATCTCACAACATACTATCGTAATCTACTAACTGAATGAGATAAATGAACAGAATTAACTACCACAGTCTGTTCGTATCTATCTATCTATCTATCTATCTATCTATCTATCTATCTATCTATCTATCTCAGTATGTTCATAACCTATCTATCTATCTATCTATCTATCTAGATTGACGTACAAAAAATTTAGAGACGTCCATCTAATAAGTTTTAGTTTCTCACTTCGCCTGAATAACCGAGGCGACGCGACGCGATGTGGCATGAAGTCTACAATATGCTTGTCCTTATTACATGTGAATATTTTACAGGTGTATAGAAAGATAGAGAGATATGAACAGAGTTGACTACCACACTCTATCTATCTATCTATCTATCTATCTATCTATCTATCTATCTATCTATCTATCTATCCTTCGTCTATTCATATCTTATATATCCCAGTCTGTTCGTATCTATCTATCTATCTATCTATCTATCTATCTATCTATCTATCTATCTATCTATCTATCTATCTCAGTCTTTTCGTTATCTATCTATCTATCTATCTATCTATCTATCTATCTATCTATACTAACTTACCAAAAATTTAGAGATCTCTATCTAATAAATTTTCGTTTCTTACTACGCCTGAATAACCGCGGCTACGCGATGTGGTATATGCTTGTCGTCATTACATGGGATATCTCATCCAAACAAGTTCCAGGACTATCCATAATTCAGTTGTGTATATCGAGTGTGGCTAGAGGGAAATTAATGTTCCTGGATCAATTTCATTTCACCCGGGTAGGGGGCGGGGCAAAGTATTCTTTTCTTGTCATAAGGATACACCAACCAGGAAAGATGGCACGCATGGAGGCTGCAATTGTAACACGATCTCTTTATGTCACACCTGTTTAATTCGTGGTCACTGTGAAACCCAATAAAGCATCCCTCAGACAATTGGAGAGCTACCATCAGCTTACGCCACAGCCTGCTTAAAGGCTGGCCTCAGAACCTTAATGCAGACCCCACCATACATGAACTCCATCGTCCATCCCCCAGTGATTCTTAACCGATTCTTAAATGTGTCGCGAAGGTATGATAGGATTTGAATTCTCTTCATTAATATTCCTTCTAATATTAGACCTCAGCTATGTCAAGAATTTGAATTGGCCACCATTTCTAATGATCGAGAACTCAAAATAAAACATTTGATGGTACCCATTGATATATTTGGGATTTCAATACAAAAGGATTATCCCAGATTAACTAAAAAGGCTTTATCAGTTTTATTTTAATTGTCTGCTTGTTATTCATGTGAATTAGGATTCTCAACCCTAAATAACATCAAATATAAGAAGCGAAAAAGACTACACTTAACTGAAGAAAAAATGAGGGTCTTCTTATCTCACCTTCAACCAAACATTGAAGAAATTGAGAAAAAACACGTAAGTTTTTTTTCTATCATGCGGCAACAAATACTTAAAAACAAATAAGAAAACGGATATTCAGAGCCTATAGATTCTTCTGGTCCGGTTATTCACAACCGCCGTGCCACGGCACACTAGTCTATCGCGCGATCCTCTTAATTGTGCAGTGAAATATTGATACATTTTGGACTTCAACACAAAAGGAATATCCCGCATTAGCTAAAAAAGGTTTACCAGTTTTATTGCAACTTTCTACTACTTATTTATGTGAATTAGACTTCTCAACTCTAAATAACATCAAAAATAAGAAGCGAAAAAGACTACGCTTAACTGAAGAAGAAATCAGGGTCTTCTTATCGTACATTTGGCCAAACATTGAAAAAATCATGACCCCCACCCACCAAAAAAAAAAAAAAAAAGAAACACCAGACACAGATTTCACACTAAATAAGTTACACAGATACTTGAATAGAAGCATTGAAATAAATTAAGTTCATATTTGTGTGTAGTTTTTTTGTTTGTCTATATTTCTGAGATGAGATATCATGTACATTATTTACATTATTCGGACTATTGTCTTCATCTTTGTCGCCATATTTATCACAACGTTTCGGCCGTTGTACGCTCCGACCTTTTCAGGTGGTTTAGATTTTGAATTGAACCCTTTATTTCGCTCACCGGTAGTTTCTAGTTCCACGTGCCATAAATGGATGTCAGTTATCAGTTATCTCCTGTTAATTTCCCTCTGAAAATTCTCCCTTGTCTTATCACATTGCACAGTGGATAAAGGCGTTGGTTAGATCCAGTGACAGGACCCAAAGAGTGTGAGTTCAATACCCGATTAAGGCAGTGGGGAACTTTCTGAGGGAAAATTAACAGGAGATAACTGATAAATGACATCCATCAAAACTTGGCACGTGGAACTAGAACAGTCTGCCCCAGTGAGCGAAATAAAGTGTTCAGTTCGACATTCCAACCACCTAAAGAAGGCCGGAGCGTACAACGGCCGAAACGTATGACGACAAAGATGAGTTTTTTTTTGTTATTTAAATCTGTGGTTTTCTTTGGTAACAGTTAAATGTATACCCTTTAAAAATGTTGCTAAGTGTGCCATGATATTTTCATTTGCTTCTAGGAGTGCCGTTGCTTAAAAAAGTTGAGAAACACTGGTCTACCAGGAAAGGATGGGAAAGTGAGTCATTTAACGAGGTGATGCGATATCAGTGTTTCACGAGAAACTTCAACCACTATCTGTCTATATTTCTGAGTATAGGTTATATGTACATTATTTACATTATTCGGACTATAACTGACATCCATTAGACATGGCACGTGGAACTAGAATAGTCTACCCCGGTGAGCGAAATAAAGGGTTCAGTTCGACATTCCAACCACCTGAAGTAGGCCGGAGCGTACAACGGCCGAAACGTTGTAATAAATATGGCGACAAAGATGAGGACAATAGTCCGAATAATGTAAATAGTATAAATTTCAACGAGTTGCCACCATAGTGTTTCCTATATTTCTTTGTCGTGCCAGACAATTTTTCTAATTAGAATTCCTCTTGCATATTTATAAATCTACCACATATCCTGTACTGGAGATTGCTAGCTACCTTATCTATCTAGTGCTCCTGCTGTATATCTCAAGATTCTTGACAAAATCCAAAGAAGGGTCTGTTATGTGATCGATCCTGATCTGGCATCTCGGCTTCAGTCACTTTCTCACCGACATGACGTGGCTTCCCTCTGTCTTTTCTATAAATATTTTCATGGTAGTTGTTCTAAGGGGCTTTCTTCATTGGTAACTTGAACACATAATGTTTTAGCGTACTACTAGATTGGCGGCTAGGTCTCACCTTTTTACTGTTGAAATAGCCCGATGACTTCATATATTCTATTCTAATCATTTCTTTACTCGCACTTGCCATCTCTCTTCTGGTTTCTCACCATCTATAATATTAAAAAGTTAAATGTAACATAAATCACCATATTCTGTTTCCTTGAATGATGTTCTTTTATTGTCCTTTTCCCATTACAAATGTCTTCTCGTTTTGTTTCATTCGTAATCCTCGGCATCTTAATGGCATTATCACCTTGCTTAGGGTGAAATGAGAAAAAAAAAAAACAACAAAAAACCCCCCCAAAAAACAAAACAACCCCACCCAAAAAAACTCAGAATGATCTTTCATCGCTCTAACGGTGTAAAATTCTAACCACACAGCATGGTTGCCATAGCTAAACTACTACTTTACCTATGACATCACACGTCGAACAGAGTCCATTTGTATCAGTAATGAAGCTACGAAACCTTCCAGTGTATTGAGTTCTCTCTCTGCGTGGCTATCAATCTCAGTCGATTTCTATCTATCTATCTATCTATCTATCTATCTATCTATCTATCTATCTATCTATGTCTGTTTCTATCTAAAAAACACCCGCCCCCCAAAAAAAAACAGAATGATCTTTCATCGCTCTAACGGTGTTAAATCCTAACCACACGGCATGCTTGCCATAGCTACACTACTACTTTACCTATGACCTCACACATCGAACAGAGTCCATTTGTATCAGTAATGAAGGTACGAAACCTTCCAGTGTATTGAGTTCTCTCTCTCTCTTCCTCTCTCTCTCTCTCTGTGTCTATCAATCTCAGTCGGTTTTGATCTATCTATCTATCTATCTATCTATCTATCTATGTCTGTTCCTATCTATCTATGGTTAACTTAGTCTGTTCAATTTCTGTATTGTAACCGCTTTAGAATTCTTTAAGCGTGCTACTAGGTTGGCATCTCAGTCCCACCCTTTCGCTGTCGAAACGGATAAATGTAACCATCTCTTCTACTCCAACAGCTTCTTATCTCGCACCTCCCGTCAGTGGAACTCCCTTCCTATCACTTGCTTCCCTGATAGCTATTATCTTCAAATATTCAAATGTAATGTCAATCGACATCTTCTGATGCCTTGACATTGATCCCTGTCCTTCTCTTTATCCTTTTTCCAAATACTCCTTTTTACTCTTATTTTAACTCTCTGTAACCCCTTGCGGGCTAGTAGCATTCTCGCTATACTTTGGGTGATTTGCTTAAAAAAGATCTCAGTATATCTATTCATATATGTATACTTATCTAATTTTTTTCTTTTTAAAATTTTACCTTCTTCTTTGTGACGTGTCCGTTCGGGATATAGACGGCCATGGCTCTCCATTATTTCTTGTCTTTCGGAGCTCTTGGTAAATTTTGTCTCTTTCTTATCTCTTCTAATCCCGGTTCTCTGCTGCTTTCCCCTGTCTCTCTTACCTTCATCATTTACTGTGTGTGTTAAATTCTCTAAGCCTTCTTCCCTCATTATGCTTCATAGAAATTTCAAGCTTCTTTCTCAAACTTTACCTACTAACTGATATGAATATTTGTTAAGTTCCGACACGTAGGTTTTCGAAGTCTATATCTGCATACTTTAATTTGCGTACCGGAAACAAACAAAGTCATTTTAAGTATTTTATATGCTCGCGTATCATGCAACATTTGAAAACATAATTTTGTAGCTAATTTTAAGAGGGTCGTATCATACACGATATATAAAATTAGCGTATGTACTACTGGCCTTGGCTACGCCGTTGACCAAACTATATATCCATTTACTGTAGTCAAATTAGCTTCAAAATTAGTTCTTGAAACGTCGCATGATACGGCAATTGATGAATTTTAATAGACATGCCAATTATTTTAGTTTGTTTTGTTTTACGGTATATCAACCTCAATGGGTTATTTAATGCTGACAAGATTTTTATTGCTAGTAATATTTTTTTTTCCAAAAATGTATTGATGGTAATATTTTTTTTTCTTCAAAAATGTATTGCTGGTAATAATTTTTCCTCAAAAAAAATTATTGGTGTTATTAAAACATATTTTAACACTTTCATAGTGTTTTGACCCCAGTTTGGGAGTTAACTATTTGCTTATAGCTGGGACCCTAACAGGTGCTACCACCCCATGTCAGAGAGGACCTGGAAACAGCAGCAATTAAGAGGTGGTGCCACGCACCTCAAGACTTCCTGATCAGAGGCCTGTTGGATGTAGTTCATCGTTTTACCCAGGACGCCTGATGTAGTTTATCGTTTTACCCAGGACGCGGATGTAGTTTATCATCTTAACCAGCATGCGGATGTAGTTTACTGTCTTACCTAGGATGCGGATGTAGTTTATCGTCTTACCCAGGACGCCAATTGTTTTAGTAAAAGGTGCAGACTATGCATTTTTGAAATAGACTAATTAAGTCTTATTTTGTTGTAATTAGTACCTTTGGTCTAATTGTAAGGCACAAATTAAAATTGGTTTTCTTGATTAAAAAAGGGAATATATAGTCAGGTTCTGTAAGAAAGCACATATTCTATGGCATCTATCGATTTCTAGGTCTGTAGATATTAATATTGCGGTCATTAAAAACAAGATGGATTACATGCGTACCTACTAAATATAAGGTTTATAGTATTATTGCTATAATAACTTAATTTTCCGATTAAACACTGCATTAACTGCTTATATATATATATATATATATATATATATATATATATATATATGAAGAAATATAGTCTTAAGGTGTGGTATATTTATGGGATAAAGTGCTCAATATCAGAGATAGAGCGTGTGAAAATATATAAAAGTGAACATAGAAGTCAACATTAGAGGCGACAGTATATGCAATCGTCAGACCGCGTGTGCACACGTGGCCTGACGATTGCATATAACATGAAACAGAAATATATACTTGTTTGTTATTTTAGTGTGTTTTTCTTTTTTTTGCTCTTCAATATCGCTATTATTCATTTCGCTAATCCAACGATTGTCTCCGGATGAGAAGTTAATTGAAAGGGGTTCTAGAGACTTTTAATATATATATATATATATATATATATATATATATATATATATATATATATATATATATATATTATATTATTATACCTATCCTCAGGTAGTGTGAAAAAAACTTAGGATAATACAACTTGTAAATAAAAAATATTTTGAACAAAACGATATCAGGAAAATGAAATCAGTAAGAAAAGAAAAAAAAAGAAAAGACTAAAAACATCCGTCTTGGTCGAAAATAATCAATCAACACTGCAATGCGTAGTCAAAAGAAAAAAAACACCGAGAGAGTTAATTAAGTAAAAACGTAAAAGTGCTCAATACATTAAGTAGATCAAAATCTAAAATACTAGTATTCCCATTGGTAGGTATGTTCTGGCTCACTATCTTTACATATATATATATATATATATATATATCCGAGAAAGTAAGTTTTTTAGATCTTCAATCGGGTGAAAATGTTTCTACGCACACACACACACACACGCTCGACCGCGCGCGAACCTGTATCCTATACGGAACCATCATATAGCCTGACGAGCTATACTCTTTAGCTGCAGAAGAAGCGTCTAGTTAGCAAAGTCTGTTTTTAAACAAATTTCCCATAATCTTTTTCGAACTATCATATCTGCTCGAAGCGTAACTTAAATTTACTTAAGCTTGTAGCCAAATGTTGTAAGCACGTCAGGCCAGATGACAGTTCCGTGTAGGATACAGGTTCAATTCCCGTCGGAGGACACATATTTTATACAAAATTTCTCGGACATTCGGGCCGATATATCGATATCTATCTATCTATCTATCTATCTATCTATCTATCTATCTATATCTATATATATATGTATATAGTGAATTACAATTAATGAAATCCAAACAATTTACCTCATTCATATATATATATATATATATATATATGAAAATCCCTTATCTTAAATCCTAGAATACCAAGCGGGCAGAAACTCTCCAAGTCTGTAGATGAGGAGGTGATAAGTTAGGGCAATTCAATTCATTTAAGATATTCACTTATCATCATAGATCCAAAGACATTTTCCTCGCACACAATTTTGTCATTCTATCATTTTAAACTGGGAAAGCCAAAGAGAACAAACGCTTCTGCGACGAAACGCGTCTTTAATAAAATTTTCAACTTTGTCCCATCGTCTTCACTTTTGTATCGGATACTATTATATATCTAACACACACACACACACACACACGCACACACACACACATATACCGGGTGTAACAGCAAAATTGTCCATTAAGTTGTGAAACATTGTATCTTAGAAATGATTAAAGATATCTTACTGGAATTCTCCGAGGTTTTTATAAAGCTACTAGACTCTAGTGTGAGCAATAAGTATGTATAATTACGCCCCAAGCTTAACATAAAATCGTGATGAAATCGATGTTCATCATTAATTGATCATAGGTAGCTCATGAAGGATTGAAACACACACTATATATATATATATATATATATATATATATATATATAATTCTAGGATCATTTTCCAACTTAAGTAAGATGATCTTTGCCCTCACTAACCGTCTAATTTTCTCTTTCTTGCGCATGCAGAGTCGCAACAGTTGGTCCACTAGGTCGAAGCATGTAACACGAAAACTTTTTTTACTTTGAAATAGTATTTGATATATAAAAAAATTATATATCGTTTTCCCTATATATATATATATATATATGACAATTGGAAAAAAAAATCATAGATTTTGCTGACGCGTTTCGTCTTCCGACTTTTTCAAGGTAAAAATGAAATCGAAATGTTTTTGCCTTGAAAACGCGTCAAAAATTCTAAAAAAAATTTTACAATTGTCATTTTATACCAATCTGTCTTGTCCACAGAATTGATCTGGGAATTTAACTATATATATATATATATATATATATATATATATATATATATATATATATATATATATATATATATATATATATATATATATATATATATATATATATATATATATATATATATATATATATATATATATGTTATAAAGACATATCTCGGCTGATTTGCAGGCAAATACTCAAGAGCGAGAGCCGGATGTGAACGGGACAAAACCCCGTCACAAAATGACCATTATCTCTATTTACAAATGTTCCCGACACACGTGTTCCGGTCGAAAAATAAAATAAAATTTAAAGTGTTCTATTTTTCGTCCAATAAAAATGCTTCCCTCCATATTATACTTGCTTCGTTTTTCGAGCCTGTTAAGCCATAAAAATACTCTATAAAAGGGGTTACACGGAAGTTCAACAAGCAGTCCACAGGTTCCCAGGGTAGAGACCTGTCACCGTCAACATGTGTGAACTACTATGAGAGATCGACCTAGATCCGAAGCCGGCTTATGAACTTTACCACAAGTTAGCTGTCCCAAACCCACACGTTCCTGTTGAAATAAACCACGTAAATCTATTTCTGCTGTTGTCGTATTTCTTTCTTGCAACCATACGCTTGTCTATAACATATATATATATATATTAAATTATATTAATAGTAGTACTCGTTTGGAAAACCTGGGATAGCTCAACTTTCAGATATGTCAGGACAAATCGGTATCCCAGGAAAAAATTGGAAATAGAAAAAAAAGAACTAAAAACATCAGAACAAGATGAAACAAATCGCCAAGTGCTTTAAGTCCTTAGTCAATTTAGTTCCAATATATATATATATATATATATATATATATATATATATATATATATATATATATATATATAGTTTATGAAAAACTAGGTAATCCGTATGGGTAAACCTAAGGAGGATAAAATCCAGAGAGCTCAATGTAAATTCAGAGCAAATAATTTAAATAAAAATAACACTTTCAAAGTAAAGCAAAATAACAGCATCTGTTTCTAGTTTTTTTTTATATTTTAATTAGTGACATCTTCTCTCTTAACTTCCTCCCCTCTTTTTCTCTCTATGGTTTTTTCTTCTCTACCCCTCCGATATCAATGTATAACTTCCGTTAAGTTAACTGTTTAAATGTGTCAATATCTGCTAACTCACTCATGTCTTCTCTCTCCCCCCCTCACTTCCTCACTTCGTTAATTTACATATGTTTAATACGGCCCGTCAAAAATGTGTAAATTTTCTTTTCATTTTTTTTTTGGAAGTAAAATCTGATGATCCGCACTCCTTTTAAAAGAGCTGTGGTGAAATAATTTATTACATGGAACCTTAAAGTGGTCTGTTTTTATTTAAAATAATATATATATATATATATATACATATATATACTAATCATATACTAAGATAAAGGTGTCATTAAGCGTGAAAGAATAAGAAAAAGAAAAACACTATTAACGAGTAAGTACAATAAAAGAAGACAGTAGATAACGATTGATATTTAGAGACAAAAATAGAACTCATTTCAACTCATGTTTCTGTTAATTAGTGTCCATTGGATGAATCATTGTTTAAAACATATCTGGTTCTCTGTCAGTTGTGGGTTCAATCCCTGTTTATGGATTGAAACGGAGAAGCGACAGTATAAACTGACACGAGTTATCACCTCTGAGCATAGAAAGCCGGATGGAGAAGAATCTACCTTTAATAAGGTGTTCGGTCCGAAACTCCATGAAGGTTAATGAATACGAAGTCAGACTCTTGAAGAAGGTCGGAGGTCCAGTAGCTGTTATAGCTCTTTCAAATAGTGATGGGAGTTTCCTTCCTAACATTCTATTTAAAGTGGTGTTGAACGCTAACATTTTCATTCTGTTATTATTTTTTTTCGTGTTATCTATTTAATTGTTGTTGCTTTTGATAGTCCCCAAGTGATGCGGTTGTAGTTAATTGGTATAGTTCTATGTTTGTGATTCTGTAGCGCCAGTCCACAAAGTTCGAAGACTCAAGCTTCACCCACTCAAAGCCATTTTTCATCATTGATCTTATAAAGCGATTGTATACAGCTGACAGTTTAGGTATTTCTGAACTGATATGGCGACATATGAAAGTCTGGATCTTACGAGGCGATTTAAGAATATGGTTTGAGTTTTCAGATTAATGTTTTAGTTTAGTGCCAATTTGCGGTGTTGGGTGAAACTACCCGTGGCGATGTCTATTCTATGTTTAATTTCATTTTCTTCTATACTTTATGTTATGGCCCAGGTTAGGAACAAGGAAGAACAAAACGAACACAAGAGTAGAAATAACGAAGGTATATTACACGAAATAATAATACAAGATGTGGAAGGTGTTAGTATGACTGTCAGTCTGGTTTAGAGTGAACTACTATAGGCTCGATTCGATTCGGTATCTACCCCCCCAAGGGTTGCATGTGGCACAAGGCCGAGTTTAACGTGGATTTCCCGAGCCCGTAGACTCGGCCAAAAAATGCCCGTAGAACCCGTATAAACGGGATCAGGTTGATCAACCTCCCCGAACGAGACTCTGCCCTTCGGCGGAGCCTCGTCCGGGTTCTTCTCTGCTTAGAGGCAGAGAGTTCGACCGTCAAGCCAAGATGCTCGGATCGATTCGGTATCTAGCCCCCCACTAGGGTTGCATGTGGCACAAGGCCGAGTTTAACGTGGGTTTCCCGAGCCCGTAGGCTCGGCCAAAAAATGCCTGTAGAACCCGTATAAACAGGATCGGGTTGGTCATTCTCCCCGAACGAGACTCTGCCCTTCGGCTCGGCTCGATTCGTCCCTCTCTCTTGAGAGGCGTAGTATACATAGTGTTAGGAAGAGTTCATTCTGTAGTTATAGGTTTAGGACCCATGACACATTTTTTGTTATAAGCGTTTCCTGTACTAAATTCGAAGAAGCTAGAAATATAAATGTTATCTTTAAGGAAAATGCTATCGCAGGCTTTAAATAAAAAATTGGCCAGAATTCACGGAATAGAAAAGGGTGCTGTGTAATATGTAGAAAAGACTACGGAACTATTTTGTTGTATAAGTTCAACTCTATGGCTATGAATTCTAGGCAGAGGAAGAAATGACTTGAAGCAAATATGGCTCTGTAAAAGTATGCTGAGAGTCTTGTCTTGATTGTCGCTTGGGATTCGACAATTCCCAAGACCTTAAATGGAAATCATATATCTGATCTATCGCTAAAGATGATAGAATGATAGATGGGTGTTCTCTTAAGGGGTTTCCTTTGCCTTGAACGTCTACTGGGACTCAATCTCACCCCAGACCTCAAGTGGAACTCATATATCCGATCTATTACTAAGAATGAGGGAATGATAGATAGGTGTTCCGTAATTCATATAATGATTAGTATAGAGACACAGTATAGTGGATAGTGTCGAGCATAGTGATCTCTGAGACGCCACGCTAATTACCATTTGGGTACTTCGAAGCGTTGTTATTGTTAGGAAGCTTGTCTCGCTAGAACAATTACGACTCAGCAGTGAGTTCAATCCTCACTGGGTGTCCCGTATTTTCTGGCTTGTTCCACATCTAAACTAAGCTTGGGAAATCGCCGCGCATATTTCCATTCATACATTTCCTTTATGATCACGTGATCTATTTATTTAATAGTAGAATCGACTGTGTTTGCTCGCTGGTGATCTGTGATCACACAACGGTGTAGGCCACGAAATTTCATTCCTATACAACAAATGTTACTTTAGTGTTTTGACGTTTCTAATATTTTTAACAGCCGACGTAAACTCGTGTAAAACGACGTAAGTCGAGTTTTATTTTTCCATATTTAAGAAAAACCGACTTATCTTAGAAAATGACTTAACTCGAAACGACTTAAGGTGAAGTATCACTGCATTGTTAAGTTGGAAGATTTTTACATTCATTGATATGTATTCTTAAAAAATTAATTACAGTTTTACATAGCGTAAACCTGTAAATAATTTTTCATTCGGAAGCCGTGTGCAGCGATCGGGTTTCAAATCTAATTAAATCTTCAAAATAAGGGATGTTGGACTAACTGATTTTGTTTATTTTTTATTTTACTAATGTTCACCCAAGGCCTAAGAGACACTTAAGGTAGAGGCCTACTAAATGACGTGTGCGATCTGAACGTAAAAGGACGAAGTGAAAATTACGAGGATAGATATCGACTGACAGTAGACTTGAAGAGGTCAAAAGTTAAGAGTTCCGGGAAGCATCCACATGGGAGTTTGTTCTACAAAGTTGGCACAATACAGTCCTCATATCTTTGCCTTTTCAGCCAGCTTGTGCCACGTGCATTAAATATCAATAACTAATTACAACACAAAAAATATTAGGTGTGTGCAAAAGTATCCAGCGAAAAATATGGCCTATTAATCGATGGCTGTGAAAAAAGAAACCTGGGAACTTTCGCTCACATCTAATATTTTAAGCTTTGTTCTATATATTTTGTGCCATATCCCTTCAGAGTTAAGTGTTCACGGCTCTCAACAGCTTCTTTAAACAGTATTTGAATGATTGTTCTTGGGAAAGATATTGCTTTCCTGTTACATTTCACGATCACGGGTCTCCACATCTTCTTCAGCCGCAGTCGAAGTGGTATGTCCTGACGGAACCCAACGCTCTCCAGGCTGGTTTGATACTGAAATTTTCTTCTCCTAGACTGGTTGCCACCTAAGGCTTTAGAACCCAGTCTGCCCTGCTATTTGCCTATAGCTGGGGTGGGGGGAAGAGATGCTTTCATATCTTTCCCAGGGGTATTGGCACTTAAGTAAATATAATGAACTCAACTGGAATTCGAACTCGGCTCTCCGATTCCTCAATCCAAGCCACTCTCCATTATTCTACCGTGCCCCCTGTTACTTTTGAACCCACCAAATATTTTAAGCTTGTACGACCTTAAGTGCCAAGCTCCTTTAAAACCTAGGGGATCATGACTCTCCACAACGCCCCTTTATTTAATATCTATAAATTGTAATTGAGTGACTGTTTCTGGGAAAGAGAGTGGAGTAATTTCCTTTCGCACAATCCCAATATTTTGAGTTTGTTCTAGATTATCCTTAAATATCAAATCCCTTCAGAATGTAGGCAATCGTGGCTCTCCACAGCTTCCTTTTCGCTGAGATGCATTTCTTTAATCGTAGTTGGGAAAAATAATGGAATGATATCCTGTTGTGTTCTCTATTGTTTTGAATTCAGAATTTTCATCCTAGACTGGTTGACAACCAAGGCTAGAGAGCGTAGCCTGCTCTGCTGTTTAGCTGTTAGGTGGGGGAGTCATGACTCCATGCTTTTCAAAGGACAAAGATGCAAAGTCGACACTAGATTCCTCAGCCGGAAATTGAACTTGGACTCGTTGATTCCATATTTCCCGTTATTAACCGTTGTGCCACCAGAATCAGTTTACGTTGATTATACTGAAAAAAAACCCTGAATATTGAGGCTGGACGTCGTTAATATGGAGATTAGTGAAGCTATTGACCAATTGTATTTTCTTTCTTATTTCCTTTTTTTACTGTCTTGACTTTTTTTATATCTCTATTGCTAGCGTCCATCTTGTATTTCCGTCGACTGCTCTTTCTTCCTTGAACTTTTCTGCGTAATTTCTTGCTTCCCAATTAGTAAAGCTCTTAAATGCCACCATTTTTCTTTACGCAGTTTCAAATTGGTCAAACCGCCCTCATTAACAAATGTTACTTAACTGGCACATGCTTCTTCTTCATCTAAAGTCTGTTCAAGACAAAGCCCACTTTAAAACCCTTATCTATTCTTTATTGATAAGCCTTCCCTGTCGCTGCTAACTTTCTTATCTTTATGACGCAGTTTCGCCGTATCCCCCCCACTAAATTTTTGTTTGTTTGAAAATGACGTCCAACCATTTGTGACCCAAGACATACTTTTCTATGGCCACAGGGTCACTTTTACAGCTGGTCCTTTCTCTAATCAACCTCATGAGTTTCCCAATCAACGACTGGTGACGACGATAAAATCTCTGTATCGTTGAACAACCTTTCAGCTGATTGCGCCGTCAAAAACGGGTTTTGTTGAGAATATGTAGCATAATTGGTCGGGTTTTCGGCCTCTCACTCGTTTTCACGCCATTCGTACTCTGCTGCTGCCACTCTCCCCGGAGGATTGCAATTAAGCAAAAAGATTAATTGTGGACACTGATGAGTGTTTGCTTATTCAAAAGTAAAAACCTCATTATGGTTGCAAATTGCTATCTTCACAATCAACAGAGAAATGGAGTGCAAATATTGCCCAATGTCTAGCTAGTCATTCGAAGGTCTAAATACTGATAGCAAAACACCATAATAATAATAATAATAAGAAGAAGAATAAGACCACAAGAATAGAAGGTGCTTTCTTATTGACATGGCAGCCACAGATTGTAATATATCTTTGAAGATCTTCAAAAAAAACTATCAAAACACAAGGAAACGAAAATCTAAAAAATGTGGCAGATGAGGACTAATAATTCCAGTTGTATCTGGAGTACTCGGATTGATTGAAAAGGTTTTCGATTTACTCACTGATGGGATTTCTGGTAGCCTATGCCTTAAGGAAATACAAAAAACCTGTACTTTACGAAGAGCTTTATGGAAAATGTCCGTGATCTTAGAGTTTTATTTTGTTTTTGTTTTACAAAAATGATCAGTGGAAAATGTCATGAAGCCATTTCTGACCTTAGGTCTCTGGTTGGGATCCGGAAGGGAATGTGTATACAAAAGAAATCAAAGGAAATAATAATAATGCTACTTATTATTATTATTTAATGAGGGCACAGTACACTCGGATATATTATATGATCATTATTAAATAACAGTTTGATTTATTTTTTACGGCTTATCAACTTTTTGCAGGTTATTTAAAGCCAGAAAATATATTTAGATTGTAAGAATTTTTTTTGAGATAATAATCATTTTACAAATGCAAGTCCTAGTAATTAACCCATAGCTGTGGACGAAGGGCGGGGTGGGGGGTGTATTCATACCTTCCCCAAGGGTATGTCCACATCAGTGAATATATCGAACCCGACTGGAATTCGAACACGGCTCATCGACTTCCAATTTCGAGCTGTTATCCATTACACCATCCCCACATCCAAGCTTACAGCACCTGATATTCCTAAACGGTCACTTATCTAGGTACTGACCAGGCACGACGTGACTTAACTTCGGCAATCGTACCAGAAGCGGTTTTTCAACTCGATATGGCCGTAAGCCTGTATCGATTGAGAGAGCAGAGCTCAAAAAAAAAAAAAAAAAAAATGGGACGAAGTCTAGTGCACTCAGCCTATCTGACAAAGGTATACCACAGCCATGGATTATGATTATCCTATAATAACGTTAGTTCGCACGACCCTTACCCCTGGCCAGTACCTGATAAATATTGGACTATTCCGTTTTGATCGTGTGGAAAGTGGGGAAAAGACACTAATTGATTTCACTGAGAAAATGAAAGAAAGAAAGAAAGAAAGGGAGGTAGGAGGGGGGAGGGAGAATCAGATAAGAATGGATACTATACTTTGATCGCAATCGTAACCAAAAAAAAAAGAAAAAAAAAACGAGAACGATGGCGACCGCTATAAAGGCATCATTTTTTAGACGCACTGAATCAAACGACGCAAACCGAGTAAGGCAATCGCCAAAAATCCAGTTACCATAAATAAAATAACATCGTCGGCTGAATTATTTTAAAATTCTTTTTAAGAGAAATATTCGTAAGACGGGGATTTGGCTTTCTTTTTCTTCATTTTAAGTGCCGCGTCCTTTCAGGACGTAGGCGATCATGGCTCTCCACTTCCCCCTATCCCTTGTAGCTCTCAATAAGTTTCATGCCTCTGCCAACTCCCCCCAGACCATGTTCTGTCATCCACTTGCTTAAGCCCACCAGGTATATCATGCATTGCTTTCCCTTGTCTCTTTTTCCCTCTATTTGACCTCCAAGTATCAGATTCTCAAGTCCCTTCTTTGTCACTACATGTCCCAGAAATTTCATCTGCCTTTTCCTTATGTTAAGTATAAGCTTCCTCCTTGTTTACATCCTCTCCAAGACTTCATCATTGTTCACACACTCACCCATGATATCCTTAGCATCCTTCTGTAGAACCACATCTCCCTGCCTCGGGTCTCTTCTTCATCTTTGAGGAGATCATCCAACATGCTAATGTATAGGAGGACAGATGTCACATAGCAAAGGTACTTTTCATCCTTTTTTGAGGAATGCATCCATCCATCCCAATCCGTCTTCATGTCTCAATTGTACTGGGTCAAAAGGACAGATTAGGACCATCACATTATTTCAAGCCTCAGATTGCTTATCTTATTTATATATTTTCTTTTTTATTTATGTATTTTTGAGGAGACCCTTTCATTGTATCAAAAAGGTGAACTCGGAATAAAAAACATGCCATAGACCCAACTTTGAGGAGCACACTGCAATTTGTCCAAAGAAATCCTCCTGTTTGAGGAGTACTCTGCTTAGAACAGAATGCATCCTTGGCCATCCCAATCTGTCTTCATGTCTCAGCATTGCACCTACTGTCCTCCGTCAAAAAAACCAGTTAGTTTTGGTATATTCTTGGGAAGACTGTTCCTAGAATGGGTTGACTTACCTAATTCTTTTGTTTCCCGGACCAACCCATATTTATATGGTCGGTTTTATGTAGTTATTTTTTTCGTTGTGTTCAAAGCCTGACCTTTAGATTGCTTATCTTATTTATATAATCTTTGTTTATTTATTTATTTATGTATATTTTTCTTTTCATTCTAAGTCATCATATTTGAAATAAAACTGTCTCCTCTATAAGGTCTTTTGTTGACTTTCTCTTGAAACTCTTTGAGGAGACTCAGTTCAAACATTCGCTGCCGGAGATTGCCCATTCATTGGGAGGACAGATGTCACATAATTTTATTGTTGGAGTAAGTAATTGAACAGAACACCCCAAAAAATGAACTTGGAATAAAAACATACAAAAATCAACCGTTTTGGAATTATCCAAATAGACCCAACTGATCTTATACATTCGCTGCAAATAGCTATCATAGGTATCATTACGAAACTGAGCACATAGTTCACTATTTTCAAATTAGTCAAATCACAATCCAAACAACGCGAGTATCTGCCCGCAAAAATGTCACTGTGATTGGTTAATTTTTATCAAATTAAGCTTGATAAGCATGGAATAATAATAATACAACACAAAGTGTTAGACAAAATGTCCATTGAAACAAGGGAAATGGATAGCGGCAATTTTTTCATTTACAGTTTTTCAGTTTTTCTACGGGCCAGAGTGATATTGGCTGCCACGAATAGGCAGGAAGATTCTTGGGCCAAGACTGTTCTAGCATGTAGAAAGGGTTTAAATTTTACTTTTAAATTGGTCGCAGTCTCAACGTTGCATTCCGAGAATCTGGATTGGTTAACATTCTTTTTCATTATTAAGTTACGAGTCCTTTTTAAAGCTGATCTTTAGTGTTCATTTTGTTTAGTTTTTTCGTAGCAGATTTAATGTTTAGTATAGAGCCATAGTTTGAGATAGGCAAGAAGTGGTCGGCACGGCAAAGGGCACTCCATTAAAAGGAAGGGCAAAAATATTTTTTAAAAAAAATAAATATTTTCAAGAAAGTCGTTATCCCATGAAATTTTCAACAAATTATAAAGATTTTTCGGGACATTGACCAGTTAGCAGAATAGCGTTGATAGTTACAACAATGCTCCAAGAAACCAAAATCAAAGAAGGATTTGATATCAATATCGGAATTAATGCCGTTCGAAACAGACAATGAATATTATAAAAAATGATTTTGTCATCACTACCAAATGGAAGAATACAATCCATAGATATTGGGAGAAACCCATTACATTGAACAACAACATTAAAAAGAACTACGATAATGGCATCTATGCCAGTAAAAACAAAGATTTTGTAGTATTTTTCTTAGCACAACGCGGAGGTTTTTTGTCACAGTTTTGAAGATAAAAATTTTTCAAACATCTCATGATAATAAATTAAGATTAAACCTATATAAATAATGAGTAGTGTACGTGTGTCCGTTCTGTCCTTCTTGCGAATTTTTAAGTCCGTCGAATCAACTGATATCGAAATGTAATTAAAAATAACAAATTTTCTTTAAAAAGAATTGTGATTTAAAAAAAAAATATGACGTCTTTCCTCATTATGTGTCTCATTAGTCCCAACTTGTCTCTTTCTGATGTTGACTATAAAAAAATGTCCTTTTGTTGTTGATTTTCTTTAAAACTTCGTCGTTGCTCACATGTTCAAGTCCATTAATGCAGTAAAGAAAAATTTTCTTTAAATTCGGCATATCAACATCTCTATGCCGTTATTTAATGCCGAAATTTTATAAAGGAAAATTTGAAAAATAACAAAATATTTTGAACAATAATTTTATGTCTTCAGGGGCTAAATATAATTTTAGCGTAATTGGTCTTGTGCCATGAGCTAAAAATCATTAAAGTCTATGAATATAATTTTAATTTAAAGATTAATTAATTCTACTGTAAAATTGTATTTTTTTTAATCATTTCAACATCCAAGTATTTAATGCAAGACGGGATGCCAACTAAATAATTGTTAATAATTTACTGCAAAAGGGGATACTAGTAGCAAAGGGGTTACAGAGTGGGAGCGAGAGTAAAGAGGCGTGACGGAGGAAAGGATGAAAAGAAGGACAGGGAATAGGTCATGGCATCTGGAGATGTCGATTGACATTACATTTGCATATTTGGAGATTATAGCCATCGGGGAAACAAGTAATAGGAAGAGAATTCCACAGACGGAAGGTGCAAGACATGGAGTAGAAGAGACAATCACATTTAACCGGTTCGACATTGAAAGGGTGGGACCGTGATGTAAGCCAAGTTGAACGTTTAAATTCATGTAATCTGGGAACTAGCGAAAATAGCTCTTTGGAGCAGTTACCGTGAAAATATTTGCATAAAAGACAGAGGGAGGCGACGGCACGTCTGTGAGAGGGCGACTGTAGACGAGATGCCAGATTAGGGTCAATCATATTTCATATCCGTCTCCGGATCTTGTTGAGGATCTTGTTGGCAATTTTATGATAAATACGTATTGTTGGCAATATTTTATATAAAGATATATATTTTATATAAAAATTGCCAGTAATTTTGCTATAAAAAAATATTTTTTATACTTTCAAAGTGTTCTGTTTTTGTTGTGGGGGGGGTTCACTATTGTGATTTGTGGGTGGGGCAATGAGCTAAAAGTTTGCCGTCTACCTCTGGATTTCAAAGAATCGCTTATCAACTGAAGTTTGCGTGTCTTTTTGAAAATAAATTTACAAGTTCACTTCAGGTTAGAGTGACTTTCTCTTACTGAAAGGTTTTATCATATATTCAATAATAATAATAATGAAATTAAGTCATTATAAAATTTCCTTAAAATTTTAGCTGTTTTTGTCTAATCTACCTTGCTGGGCTGGTTGATTTTAAATTTTAGCTTGTCTATCTATCTATCTATCTATCTATCTATCTATCTATCTATCTATCTATCTCAAATTGAATGCCATGAACAAATGGCTGAAATAGTTTCAACATCTGTGCTAAGCAGAAGTTAATTAAACCCGAAAAAGATATGGAGATTTTTCTAAGCATAGCTTAGGTGTAGCACAAGGGCGAAAGTATGGGGGCTCCCAGTGAGGATAAAACTCACTGCTCAGTAATAATTGTTCTAGCAAGACAAGCTAGCTGACCATTACACCACATTGAGGTGCCCAAACCAGAAAAAGATATAAATCTTAATAATTATGAAATCCAGTGGGTGACCCCAAACATTTGGCTTACAGTGTATTGGGAGAGGGGGAGATAAAATATTCATGTTTTTTTGTTTTTTTTTTATCCACAATATATTGGTGAACTCATTCTTCTGCCTATCATATCATTTATCTTTTCTACTTCCATTTCATCTATGTAACGAGGGAAGCAGTGTAACCAATTTGAGAAGCCAAAACATAAACATCACAAGGCCTTAAAAACCAAGTCATGTGACTTAGACTGCAGTGCTTTAGTTAAGGAGAGGAGAAAGGAGATGAGAGAAAAGCACAAAGTAAATTCTATAAAGACCCCCAGATGCAACATACACATCACAAGGCCTTAAAATCAAGTCGGCGATGATTATTCAAAGATCTCTCTTGAAAATGGACCAAATTTTGAATCGCTTAAAAATTGAAGTTTG